CATACATGCATACGTACAAAAACACATACATACATACATACATACATACATACATACATGCATACATGCATACGTACAAAAACACATACATACATACATACATACATACATGCATACATACATACATACGTACAAAAACACATACATGCATACATACATACATACATGCATACATACATACATACATACATCATACATACATACATACATACATACATACATACATGCATGCATGCATGCATACATACATACAGTCATACAGTCATACAGTTACGTACATACATACATGCATACATACATACATACATACAAACCATACAATACAAACCCTACAGTACAAACCCTACAATACAATACCATACAATACAATACAATACAATACGACACAATACAATACATACACGTCATTGTAGTAGGCTATATGCATATATACACAAACAGATAAAGACATATTCTCATCTATGTATTTATTCATAGAAGGACAAAAAACAGACCCAAATTCAGGTAGGCAGCTCGGAATCCGAGGAACTGGCCCAAGCAGCCAGGACATGAAGCAGCCATGACTTCATCCAGGTGTGGAATCAAGTGCTGTGCTTTCTATTCTAGGATCCCTTTACAGGAGTAAATCAACAAACCCTAGTAGACTCCTTTATGAACCAGTGCATTAAGGGCACCTCTAATTTGGACCCTAGTCTGCTCCTGCACCTGCCGGTATCCATCATGTAGATGCGGCTCAACGCTTGGAGGGTCTACGGCTAACAGTTAGGGCTTTCAACTCATTCTGTTTCGGGTCAAGGATCTCTCTCCGGCACCTTCTTGCAACAATTACACTCCTCTTGGCAGTGAGCATATGGTGTTGGGGAGACTATAAAAACGATAGCTAGGTCAGCTAGGTAGCAACTAGGCTGAACGAGAACATCAGTCGACATGTTGTCAGCTTGTTTTGCCAACCTCACCTTCTACATGGTCAGGCTTCGCTTCCGGCGCAGTGCTTGAGCAGAGCATCCAACAGCCAACTTCCCAGATTTGAGGCCGCGGGGCTCGGGAATACGAACCGTATCGTCATCTTGGGCACTGCATATCTAGATGTGTGGCGCAGGCCTCGGGCACATCATCAGGCACAAGCAAAAGCAGATGCGAATGCCCATGAAAACACAAGAGGAATAGCAAGAATCACGACAGGTGCAGAAACAGCAGCAGCACGCAATGAAGATATTCAACCTTTCAACTTCCTCAACCTCCTAACACCCTGCAAACCCCCCAAGGAGGCCTGCCAGGAGGTGTGCACGGCATACCACCCTCCCGGCACGGTGGAGGTCGGCGCAAAGGCCTCGGACCGGGACCCCCACAAAGAGGGCGCTGCCTTTGTAGGGCATGGAGCTTTTCTTCCCCAAGACAGATAGAGAGCGCAATCCTCCCGAGTATAGTGGAACCCGGCGAATCTCGATCTTCAGGGTCATGGGTTGTTGTTTGTCTTCCTCTATCTCTCTCCTAGCCAAGTGTTGCTTGTTTGGTTTGGAGTTTAGGTGTCAGAAACTGTAAGCGTAGGCGCGTTCCGGGGCTAGGGAATGTGAGATTCTCTTTCTCATCGGGGTACACCCCAAGGACTTTAGGGTTTCACTTCTGGGGCAAAACTCTGAACTCTAAACCCTCGGAGCCCTACGTTGAGTTAAGTAGTGTACGTGAAGCTGAAGGTTCGCACAAGTCCCGAGTGGCTCCGAAAAAACCCCGAGGCCCTGCAGACTGGTTTCTCCCTTCGTTCCACATGCTAATGGTTTGGGGCTTGGAGCTTCTAGCGGCTCGCGTTTAGGCTTCAGGTTTGTACGGCTCAGGGTTGCGACTCTCACACTCGCACAAGATAGTTCTGTCTCCGCTGCAAAGAGCCACCGCAGCACTCAGGCACGACCACAACACGAGACCAGTAAGATAAGCAGCTATACTGCGAGGGGGGAACACATGAAGTGCAGCGGTCGTCACTCTGGGTTTAGGGCTCAAGGACTCAAGGATTCAAACCAGTGCACAGGGGCTTTATGCTCCACATCAAGACTCGTCTTGGTTTGTCCAGCGCGCATATCTTATGCAGCGCTAAGTCATCAGGGAGCGGCGGGAGGGCCACTCAAAAGCTGCACACCGGATTAAACATGCTTGCTCATGTGCTCGATCAGGCTCGATCGTCATACAGTCGTAGACCCTGTTTGCAAAGCTCGAAAGCAGAGCCTTCCCAGATCACCGAAGATGACCCAGGAGATGTAGGTTCAGTGAACTCTCTCAATGTCGTTCTCATTTCACCTCTTCTACCCTACTCTGATCCTCACAGACCGTATGACCCTTCTTCCCTCAACCCCGAGCGTCCTGGAAGTCCCATTCTCAGACCCGAACCGCAGCGACGCAAGGGGCCTGCTGGTACCAGGGGCCTGTACCAGCATTGGGCATTGGGGGATTCGGGTACTCCAGGCGAGGTTGTCCAAGTCGGCAGACGTTCAAACATCTACTCCAAGCTTTCGCGGGCGAAGGCAGCAACCTGCCCATCAACCCGTCCCGTCCGAAGGGTACAACGCTTCCAACACGTGCAGCAGCCGGCCATGCTATCTTTCTCACAGGAACTCACGTCGCACCGCGTCTGCGAGCTGTGCAATTGACAAACAAGCAGGACGTCAAGCACAATCCATGTAGCTTGCACCTGCGTACATCAACGTTGTGTTGATGCCGAAGCTAGAGCTGGCTCACAATCCAAGCTCAGCGCTGCATTCTCACATGCGGCATTCAGAGGCTTGGAAAGCAAGACCGACATGCAAAAGCATTCATCGAGCCCAGACCATTGCTCCCCTACCTTGAAACTCTGCCCAAGTTCTCTGTGGCATGATAGTTAAGTCCAGCAGAGACACAACAGCTTCAATTAACGAGTCAACAAACTGGACTCCTGCTGTGCAGGGACTGCACTGCATGTCGACAATCTTCAAGAGTCAGAAAAGGAGGAACATGAGAGACATTGCCCTCGGAAGACTCAGCACTTGTTCAAAAGTGTTGTGCTGGTCAAGAATGCAAAGCCAGCAATTCACGCTCATGGCACGAAACATTTCAAGAAACCCATGTATAACTATCACTATCATATGAAAAGTTGCATCATTCATGCAGTCGGTACTTGCAGCTATGATGCGTCTGCGGCCTGTCTATTCCTGCTGCTGTCGTCCAAGTGCAATTGCACATAACAGATTCTACGAGAAATAAACTCATGCTACAAGGGCTGCACTAGGCCCATCATGAAATTGCTCTAACAACTTTCATCTTCTATAGCTTCTCGGGCAAGGACGATCATCACAGCGAGAATGCGACTCATTTTATAAGGTACTAGAGCTGGGATGCCCATCGACATCTGCTGGTGGCTGACCACGGTAGCATCCAAAGCTTTCCAAATGATTGAAAAAGAACGGTGCCGACATGCAGAGCGAAGTGCGCAGCCAGTGGCTGCAGTGCATGGATAATTCCATGCCAGAGTTAGATGAATTTGCAGGTCGTGCACTGGACGTTGCGGCGATGATGATCACGGACATCTTACATCGTACTGCAAGACTCGCAAGAAGCACCTCGCGGTGGTGCCATTTCGGACAACGCGTTGGTGACCTCCTCAGCTGAAGGTCGGTCAGACTTGTCCACGGCCCAACAAGGCTCGATGATGCCACGCAACACCTTGGGGCAGTCAGAAATAAGAGGACGTGGCTCCTTCTTCTGGCAGTACTGCTGCAGGATTACCTCCGGATCCAGCGTGAGGTGCTGGAAAGGTCGACGGCCAGCGCTGATGTAGTACATGATCAAGCCGTAGGAGTAGATGTCGACCTTCTCATTGTACTCTTCGTACCTGACAACTTCTGGGGCCATGTACAAGTAACTTCCAACGCCGCCCGTCATCATGTGCTGCTCGGAATCAGCTGTGGCCATCATCTTGCTGATGCCAAAATCGGTCATCTTAAGCTCCAAGTTCTTCGTGAGGAGCAAGTTGAGAGGCTTGAGATCTCGGTGCACGATGGGCACCTGATTGAGTCGCCGAGATTATCTGCCCCCAAAATTTTATAAACTTTCAGATTCTACAGTGATTATACTACCCCCCAAAAGCCTGAAATATACTTACTCAGCTGCTAAGGCACTCTAAAGCCATGCAGAAAAGCCAGGCCACGGCCAATGGCGCAAGACCATTCGACCATACGCCACAAGGGAGGCTTCCAGAAAGCGACCTGGCACTTGTCTCTGTAAAGGGTTCGGAAAAGGCTACGATAAGGGCTCTTTTAAAGGTTCCTTTCTAAGCGTTCCTGTACGGGCTGCTATAAGTTGGTGTTCTTTAAGGGTTCTATGACATAGGGGCCTTAATGGAAAAGGGACTGGGGGCGGCCTCAGTCTTCTCTCGCATCTTGAGCATGTAGTTCTCCAGGTCACCTCCACCCATGAACTCCGACACGAACATGATTGGATGGCCCGGATCCAAGCAAGCACCCAAGAAGAGCACAAGATCCGGGTGGCGAAGCGAGGCCAAAAGATCAATCTCATGCAACATCTCCTCCGTGATGTCATCTTCCAGCTCGGCATCTTCCGCTCGCTTCGGCGATGCTTTCTCCACCCCGCCCCCGAGCACCATGCTCTGCGACTTGCGCAAGTTCTTTACCATATTTGACTGGTGCATCTTGGCACACTTCACAACTACAATGGTGCCCTTCCAGTTTGCCAAGTGCACTGCACTCTTCAGCGTTTTGCCGATCTGCTTCCTGAGTACGATCTCTTCCGGCTTTAGGAGCCAAAAGCTCTCCCGCGCACGAGACTCGAGCACCTCGCGCTGCAACTTGGCTCCGTGCTCCTCCAACACTGCCTTCACGGCGAAGTTCCCAGCCCGCGACGAGATGTCCAAAGGGGTTTGGCCGAGACAATCTGTGGCATTGGCTGCCGATCCGTGCTCCAGCAGAATGCGGACAACCTCTTGGGCACCTGCCGTGTTGATGCTACAGGCAACGTGGAGAGGAGTCTTTCCGCCATAGTCGGCAACATTGGGATCAAGGTTCTGACTCAGAAGAGTCTTCACCTTGAGGCAGTCGCCGGCGGCCGCCGCATAGCAGAGCTTCATGGTGGCCTGCTGAATGGAATCATCCTCCTTTTCCTTCGTTGTGGGGGCGCTCGTTTGAGTGCGACCCAACAACGCGGGCAGTGGCTCCTCCTGAGTCTCCGGAGCCGAGGAGAAGAAGGTCATCATGGCAACGCCAATGAGCGAAGAAAAGGAACTCGGAATGTTGCTGTCGCCGCTCGCCTAAAACCTAGAGCCAAAATGACCACGGAGGGTCAAGGGTACGCAGTAGTCTGTGTTTTGGGGCACTTCCGCGCTGGCAATCACGAGAAACTGTCCAGGCCCAGGCTGTCCTCCGCAAAATTAATTCTGTGCAACAGCAGCTATGCCCGCCAACACTGGTTATCATCAAGACCAGCGGCGCGGATGGATCCGTCCTGCACCCGAAACCAGGCAAAAATAACAAATTCTAAAGTAAAGGCCTGCCTGCATCCACATAGCCCGGAGGAGAGGGCCAGACGTGGCTGCCGAAGTCGGGCGTGGCCTGGCTAGGGATCAAAGGAGATGCAGGGCTAAGGAAAAAAATATTGGGTTTCGGGACTCACAACTCGGGCAATTCCAGGCGAGGCATGTGGCTGTAGGCCGGAGGGCTGGCACATAGCACAAACTCCATAGCTGCAAGCTGCTACGAGGGACTTGTCAGTCTCAATCGATCCTGCTCCTGAAAGCTTGTCTAGCTGCGGACTTCTGTATCCAAAACAACTTGCCAACCCGGTCAGTCACATTTGAGGGGGGGGGGGTGAGAGGACTAAAGATATGAACATCTAAAGGAGGTATAACCAACAAAGGAGCAGCTCCGGGCACGAATCAGTCTCTGGTCAAGTAGTAGATGTTTAGGCTTCGAAAATTCTGCGGCCTGTGCCTCTTTATGCGTACACTCGGACAAGACACCGATTGGGGCCTCGACCTTAGGGCAGGTATGAGAGGGGAACGCACTCCGCTAGATCTTGGCAAAACCGATGCGGGGAGCCGATGCCGCTGCTACTACAACCACAACGGCTCATGTGTTTTACCAGCCGGGTTGCCGTTGAATTCTTCTTTTGTTGCCAGTGTCAAGCTATCGCAATTTTGGTCATCCACAGCCGTTTATGACTACAAGGTAATGAAAATAATGATAGTGCAAGTGATCAGATTACTCGCAGCAGCTACATGTAAGCCCTTATGAATAATTGTACAGGGACTATGATACAGATCTGCATAAAGGCCCTTACAGAAGCGTGTTGTAGTTGACCACGGGGGTCTACTGCATTGTCGTACTTTCTCCCTCCAGCCTCCATGGCCTGAAGCGTTGCCAAACCATGGGCTCTGTATGCGCGCAAGCCTCCACAGTACTGAGTACCACGACCATGGGTTCTTGTTCTATCGATTTCGGGGCTTCGACACAAACAGACACCAGTAAGGAGTTAGACGACCCAAAATACGTGCAACCTGCGGAAGCTCTCTCGTCCGGCATGACATGGGGCTAGCAAATAATCTTCACCTAGTTCAGTTTCCCCACGGACAAAGGTGAACCAACGAAGATCCAGTCGCTTCTATGGGTCAGGGAGAACACAACAGTCAGAACCGTACCACTAACCGGGCAGGTCGCCTCAGGCAGATGAGACAGGAAAATAAAATCAACACAGCTTCACTCGGCTGAAGGACTTGGCGTTGTGCTTGGGGTCTAGGGCAGGGTTCATGGTTCAGCTTGAAGATTGAAAATGGTGATGATAACGATGTCGGAGCCGCGGGAGACTCCGATTCTTCCATGCGAAATCCTCGATCTGTAAGGCCTGACAAACCTCCCCCCCCATCACACCTTGTGTGTGAAACGAAGCCTGGCAAAGGTCCAATAAAAGCCTTGCCCCTCGATGCTGTTCCCACACTAAAGCCTTGTCGGTCACAGATAACGGATCCTCTAAGCCTCTAAGCAATAAGCACGAAATTTTTGCCCGAAAATATCGAACGTGTGCATATCGCCCGCGGCCGCGAATGGCAGCACTAGCACAAGAAAGAACCGAACGATCATCGGCATTAATAACAACTGTGTGCGTCGTGTTTGCATGCTACGCTTGCCGTTTGGCCAACCAACACCACCAGCATTTCGGGGTCTGTTGTTGTTTCACTGCGAGAACCAACATCACAGCTGACATCAGGGAGCAAAAACCCTGCTCCCGGGCCTGCATCGTGGGCATTGGGAGCCTCCTGCCAGGAATCGCCACCCCCATGCTCAGCCTCAGCACACGGCGGCGGTAGCTGTTGAAATGACAGTGGCAGTGGCTGCGGCAGTGTGGCTGCGGTGTGGGTAGCGATGCTCGCAGTCGTGCAGGAGTCTGTCGCAAGTGCAGCGATAGTCGTAGTCGCCAGCAGCAATTACTCCTTGCTACTCCTCCTCCTCCTCCTCCNNCTACTACTACGACGACTACCACCACCACCACGACCACGACCACGACCACTACCACTACCACTCCACTACCACTACTACCACCACTGCCACTACCACTACCACCACCACTACCACTACCACTACCGCTCCGCTACCGCTACCCCTACCACCCGCATTCCGAGTTGGCAAGGCCTTTGTCGTGCCAAAGAAGCGATTCAGAGTCCTGCAGCCCAGGCTGCTTGCACTTCGCCAAGCGCTGTTGCTGCGGAGAATCTTGGTGACCACCGCTCTTCTTGCGCACAAGTCGGAGTCTTTGCCTAAAGGGACGGAGCGCGGTCGCCACAACGTGCATTGTGGAAGCAACAGAGTCAACTAGGCGAGGGATGCCGTTTTGATGTTCGACCTGGAGGTCGCAGACGCTCGATATGCAGTTGTCTGCCGCCCAGCGCAGCTCGCCCCGAAATTGGGTCCCGTAGGCGCGGGCCAGTAATCGCCGCGCTCACGCGCCGGAGAGCTTCTAGCGTAGCCGCAAGAGTTCTGTCGCTGGCAGCTAACCGCCACCACCACCACCACCACCACCACTACTACTACCACTACCACCACTCCTCCTCCTCCTCCTCCTCCTTCTCCTCCTCCTCCTCCTACTACTACTACTACTACCACCACCACCACTCCTACCACTCCTACCACTGCTACCACTACCACCACCACCACCACCACCACCACCACCACTACCACCTCTGCTACTGCTACTGCTACTGCTACTGCTACTGCTACTGCTACTGCTACCACCACTACTACTACCACCACTACCACTACTACCACTACTACTGCCACTGCTACTGCTATTACTACTACTACACAACCACAGGCACAACCACAATCACACAACGACAACGGCCACCGCCACCGCCACCACCTCCGCCGCCACCACCACCACCACCTACCACCACCACCACCAGCACCAGCACCACCACCACCACCACCACAACAACAACAACAATAACAACAACAGCAACAGCAACAGCCACAGCCACAGCCGCAGCCACAGCCACAGCCACAGCCACAACCACAACCACAACCACAACCACGACCACACGCAACCACCACGACCACGACAACGACCTGTTCTCATTAGCGGGCGTTGCCACGACGAATCAAGACGATTGATGTGAGCCAATGGCTTGGGGGTTTGTATGGCAGAAAGATGTTAGAAGTCTAAAACATGCACACAAATCGTAGCCGGATTATCCAGAAGAGCTTGGAGGCAAGGACTTTGATTCTATGAAGCACCATGACGGCAAGTTCTATGACTGTTGGAACTGCTTATCTTGCTGTTGCAGTTCTTACACTTGCGGCTGGTGCTGCTAGTCAGTCACTGGTCCCCATCTCGTTGCTACACCTTTACAACGAACGACAACTACTGATAGCTACTGCTGGTACAGTTGCGTTTATCGCCCTGACAGGAAACTCTCTTGCTCAACCCAGAACTCTGACCTCTCAGCTGGTAGCTCATCCTTGAAACCCTAAACCCTGCACCTCTCAACTCAAGCTTTAAACACGATCTGAATCCCCTCGTTGCTGCGGGCCCCTTGAGAGGCCCCTGCATGCATCTCTATGGCTTTCAGCGTCGCGAGGCCCTGCGCCCTGTAGGCAGCCAGACCTTCGGGAAGATCGTCGTTTAGAGTTCGGGGCTTCCGGGCTTGAGGGCTTTCGGCGCTCACACTCGGACAATCCGGGCGAGGTTATTGGTGATCAGGTTGGCAGGTTCAGGGCTTCTGAGCTTCAGCCTTGTTCATTGTTTCTGGTTCTTTGCCTTGGGCTTGGCGGCTTCTGGTCGTACCTTACCGTCTGCGACTTGCCATGCGAGATTCGGTATGGGGCACCTCTGCGGCTACTACAATCAGACTGTCCAGCAGAGCACTGCACTCGGCTGGAGGACACACTTCGCCACCCTGCTCACCCTACTACCCCCCCCCCCCCCCCGCACCCACCCTTGCCGTACCATACCCATCACCATACCCTACCCATACCATGACTTGTACCACGCCGTACCATACATCTGCAAAAATTTCTATCTCTATCCATGTCCCTCGGCAGCCTGCAGACACTCCCTTCTTGTCGCTCATGTTCTTTGTGGGTGCTTGCAGGAAGCTGGGCCTCGGTGTCGCAAAGCACTGCCCCCGTTTTAGGAGTCCCGAAACCTGTTCGGTGTAACATAGGGGCCGCAGTCCCAACAGGGATTTGGTATAATTCTGTAGATCAGCCCTTAGAGAATAGCATTGCAGCATTGCTAGTCATTCAAATTTGATTTGCATGCGGGGGGAGGGGGGTTAGGCGATTTAAGGTGTTGGCATTTCGGGTGCAGGGGTTTGGGGCCTACGGGGGTCCTGAGAATTTTGTTGAAATCAACTCCAACTTCATGTTCAGGGATGGCTCCTGCAACCCGACAGGGCACAACATCCACTTCTGTTGCTCTCCCGAACCTTCCAGCCCCACAGCAAAACCGTGATCTTCGCATGATGCTCGAAGGTTGCTCTTCTTAGTCATGATCGACTAGGATGACTCGGGGTCCAGAAGCCCTTCCTCCATGATCATGTTGGAAGCGCGGCCTCAACCAAAAAAGAAACGTGAAGCGGAGAATCCCGAAACTTTGACCCCTACCTCCTGACCCTGTAAACCGTAACCTGACACAAGTCTACAATTTCCATCAGGACTTGTGCAATCGCCTGCTCTAGGCCCTACACCGCAAACCCCAAACCCTGAGCCCTAAACTCTAAACCACCCAAAATTTCAAAACCGAGTAGCTGTTCGGACGGCCCCTCCCCAACCGGAGATTCCGGGGCGGCGCTCGGCTGGGTCCGCCTCGGCGTCTCTCTTTGGCCGACATGGAGGAAAAGTCGATGTGCGCATAAACGAAGACATGTGTAAGTGCATACATTTTGTCTATCCATGTTATGTATATATATATATATATGTAAACAACATATACACATATATATATACACACGCACACATTCTGGGCATGCATGCACTTGTGCAAACATAGTTGTATGTGTATGCATTTGGGCGTACCTACCTACCTACCTACCTACCTACCTACCTACCTACTTACCTACCTTCGTACCTACCTACCTACCTATGTACCTACCTACCTACCTACCTACCTACCTACATACATACATACATACATACATACATGCGCGTATATATGTATGCATGTTTGTCTGTCTGTCTGACTGTCTGTCTGTCTGTCTGTGGATGGATGGATGGGTGGACGGATGGACTGATGGACGGACGGAAGGACGGACGGATGGACGGATGGACGGAGGGACGGAGGGATGGAGGGACGGACGGATGGACGGAGGGATGGATGGACGGATGCAAGAATGAACGCGTTGATCTACCTGTTCGCCTTTACACCCACAAAGTTTTCCACAAGGTATGAGCCAGGCATGCTTTCGCGCATATAGATATGCAAAACACCGGGATACATTCAATCGTGAACGGTGGCGAATGTGGATGGATCACCATAGATTCAGGGACGTGCTCTTCCGTGAACTTAACTTGCAGCAGTGACAAGGTGTCTGCAAATTTCACTGTGAAAGTGCGGCCAAAGCAAAAAATGCCCTGTGGCTGTGTAATCCTTGGGAACTGAATCCTTCATGGTGAAAGTCTCTTAGTCATACTCCTGCCCTGGCTTGGATATCTGCAATTGCTTGGTTTTGCCTGTGGGACTATAAAACCCCAACCTGCGTGGATGGAGACCCAGACAATGTCCCGCTTGCTGGGACGGCTGAGCTCCCTGCGAAGGATCTTCAATTAGCTTGTCCACCTCCTTCTCAAAATCTATCGTGTACCTTGGACTATGTAAAGGTTCTCAACTCAGAGAGTTGCCACTCAAGAAGGCGAAACAAGCATGATTGATGCTCCATGATTGCACCTAACAGCAACTACGAGAGTTGCCATTGCACACTGGATCTAGTGTAATATGTTTCGAGGCGAATCGCAAACGGGCATGATACGGAAGAAGTCATTCAAGTCGCTGAGGCCTGCATGTGGGATTCTGGCTGGTAGTACCAGTCGCCAGCGCAATCACTAGCTGGGCTAGCTCTCCTAAAGCAGACCTCGGCAATACTCAAGCCCCACTGGTTCAACTGAAAGCTCGGAACCCTAAACTCTCAAAGCACCCTAAACCCTTTTGCATAAACTCTCACAGCCCGTAGCTTTGCATGCCGATCCGCACAGATCGCGAGGGGCCGCAGACTTCGGTCGCATTCTTCGCACGGCCTCAGGTCCGAGTTTAGGGGTTTTTTTCCCTCTCGCATAGCTAAGGATCAAAGCCCACAAGCGAGGTTAGATTAGGGGTTTAGGGTTTATGGGTTTAGGGCTTAGGGAAGCCACTTGGAGCTACGGTGTTTCAGGCGGCTTTTTTGGCGTGGGTTAGAGGTGGTTTAGGGTTTCGACAGGGATTCAGGCGCAGGTCCCCCGATACCCAGCTTGCTACCGTGACATGCTCAGGTTCAGGGTTTAGGGCTTCGGGTCTAAGCGGGCTTAACTCGGGCGGGCAGGCGAAGCGCGGGGGTGGTCATGGCAGTCTCCCATACGTTTCAAGAATCGACGGACAGGCACTGCTATGACTATGCCGTAACCCAAAGCAAGCCGCAGGAGATGTAAACCCCAAGTCATAGATCATATGGCATGCTACCGCTTCCAGGACACATCCAGACTCGACTGCGACGCAACTCTGCAACCCAGCGGCCGTCGGTCGCACTTTGCACTGGGGGCATAATGACGCACTGAAAGGCTGCGCCTGTCAGTTCTGCACTTCAAGGATCGTGGCTGGGAGCTCTTCTATGGTTCTCCGATAATTTGAGGGGCTTGCCAATTTCAACATATCTCTAGAAGCCTCACAGTAACCGATGATATCTGGCCTGCTCGTGGTACATTTTGCCAAAGACCCTGCAGGGCCGATAACTTAGTCCCAATAGGCTCCAATAAGACTCCGATACATCTATGACAGCAGAGGCCCTTCCCAATTCTAGCGGATTGTTGCGCGCAGTCCATGAAAATCCTCGGCTCTGTATGTACTTCCTGGCCGCTGTGGAGAACAAAGGCGGGGAACAAGGATGGTAGTGATTGTAGAAACCAGTCTTCTGCAGCGGGGCCGGGTTCCCCCGGCCCCAGCCGTACAGCCTAGAGCCCCGAACTCATACTACAGAAATCTCGACGGCATTTGGTCACACGGTTTTCCACATCAGGGATCCGAATAGACCCTCCTCAGACTAGTCCAAAGACCCCTTCATAGGGCCTCTGACTTTGGGAAGCCCCCGGCAACACATCGTTCTCGGCCTCCTACCACTGGACCATGGCTGGCCCAGGTAATCGCTAAAAGGCCCGCAAAAATCGCAGCTACTTGGGCCACGACGAGATCGAGGTGATGGGAATGGGATGCAAGGAGTTTAGAAGATTGAGGAACTCAGCATCAGATGGGACCCCCTATCCAGACTCCTTGTTTCGATAAGGGCTACAACATCTAGGCAGGGCCTAAAGTAGGTTTAAAGTTGCTAGCCATCGCCAGCAGGAGAATGACGAATTGCTGAGGCGAAGGGTGTTACACACGCTTACGACCGAACCGTGAAAGACCTGAACCGCTCAAGGTGCGATAACGAAAAGGCTACAGAACGACCAAAGCTGATACTGACAACACAGTTGAGCGTGGTATAGGGCTGGCGCGGGAAGGGCGTAGGCGTAGGACCTACGATGTGAACCTCCCGGGGCACAGGCTTGTTTGCCTTTACGTTTGCACCTTGAGGTTTTGGGGTTTCCTGGCACACCAAAGTTGATTTCAAGTGTTGCGGCCGGCTATGACTTTCTCACATCCCCTCGTCTAGGCGCGACCCGAAATCTGCATCCCTCAACCAGGATACTGGGGCTAAGGGATTGGCTGCATGTCGGCAGTATGTTTCGACAACACAAGATACGCAGAAGCCAGCTCTTGATAGCATTATGCGGGGCCTTAATTGTTGGAATAACGCGTGGGGAGGTATGTACACTATACTTTTCATACTGACCCTCAGGGTATATCATCATTAACTAGTGTACTGCTGTGGCTGCCACACCGTGGGCTGGGCTCTGCACCAATAGCTGCCAGCCGCCTCGACTCCTCTTCGTGCTTCCTTTGCACGGTCGATTTCTTGGGGGGGTTTCGGTTTTTGAAGGGCTTTCAGTAGCATGCCCCTAAACCCCAAACCCTACCCTAAACGCCTTCACCGTAGGTTCAGACTTCAGCTTTTAGGATGTCGGAGTCTAGCACAGGTGCTTTGCTTTTGTTTATTTGGGTCTGTTGTTTCTTTTGGGTCTTTCTTTTCTTGGTCTGTTGTCTTGATTTTTCCCAAGGAAAACACTATTTCCTGACACGTTGGACGGATTTCGTGCCAGAAAACAATCGTTACTTTGGTTTTTTTCTGCAATTCGTAAGGTTGTACTTGCGTGGGGATTACAATTTGCTTTGCATGCTCCTCTTTTGCGTCACGCTGTAGGGGAAGCGCAATTTCCGAAGCTTCCGTTCTGCGTCAGCTAGTCCCAAGATGGGATTAGGTGAAGGGCTCACAATTAAAGAAAAGTATTTCGGCCCGGATTGGGTTTGGAAGACTACTTTCAATTGTGGCTGGATTTCCTCTCGCACAAAGTACTACAGTTATCGAACATTGTTTCCGTATATCAAATGACACACTGCAATTCGAAGCGATTTAGCCATAAAATACTGCTGACGAAACCGTTTGGGTTGCTTCCTGGCGCCTCGACTGGCCTTTGTGCTTGCAGGCCCGAGCAGTGACTACATCAGACTGGAGCTGCGCGCTATGTACTCTGTCGGGCACGCGAACTCATCAAACTCAAGCGTGCCTCGCACAGGACTACCTCACAATTACGAGAGGGGGGGTGGGGGGCACAACCTGAAGTTCTCAAGAGAGCTTGGATTTTCAGCTGCGCGCGGTCAGAAGGCCCTGTGAAAACAAGTGCCTCGAACGGAATCCCAGTTTGGAACGACCCCGTGCTGTTCAGATTCCATGGGCAATTCCTTCTGCTTTTCCTTGCTCGCTTCACGCTAGGCTTCAAAGGGATGCATCAGCCGGATTAGAGCAGGGCCCTCTTGGGCGAAGCTACGTCCAGCTCTAGTCTGGAAGCTCAAAGGGCAGAGACCCTCGCTTGCGATAGGGCCCCAATACTCAGAACAGGGTGTGTGTGTGTGTATGTATGTATGTATGTATGTATGTATGTATATATATATATATAGAGTATACGATAGTCTAGCTGTATTAGGCAAATGCCAAGGAATAAGATAAGTAGCTATTCCGAGCCCTATATCACGGTTGAGGCTGTGGCGGGGGCTCAACTCTCCGAGCTTAGAGGACCGGATAAGGGTTTGTGGCAAGCTGATGAGCGATCGCTTTCCGTTTAGGAGTTTAGGGTTCACGCCCTCGCAACTCGGACTGGTCAGACGAGGTCTGTGGGTGTGAAGGTCGGCTTTGAAACCACAGGCAAACAGAGACGCGCTTTTGAGGGTTTAGGGATATGACTGCAAAACCACTAAGCACGCGTGGCAAGAGCAAGAAGCGGAGCAAAGACGAGCAAGACAAGCACCAAGATATAGAGCCATAAGAAGAGTGAAGGCACGAGGAGCACAGGCACTGGCACAAGAGTTGGAAAGCAATCCTGTTTCAGGTATCAGGATGACACGTGGTGAGAAAACAAGACGGCCTGTGGCTTTAGCGAAACCAGTCTAGGTAGCACCTGTATGTTCTCCTGGGAATAAACGGTGATGCTCCTTGCTCATCCTCCTTCGACGCTTCTTGCACCACCGAAGTTGCCTAACGTGTTTCCTCTTCTCTCTCCCCCCTGTCTGGTTCGTATCAATGTCATAGGCTCGTTCCTGTGATGCGAATCCTCTAGGCTGCTCGAGATGCCCGGCGTGGCGACTGCTCGTGGAATCAGTGACGACAACCACCGGAGTAAGAATAGAGACTTCACCAGCAACAGCATTAATGCGCACAGCAAGAAATAATAGGGGTCCTTCAGCCCAAACCCAGAAAACCCAGAAACAGTAAGGGAAGCAAGAAGACCAGTAAAGCCATGATGAGCTTCCAGGATGGCGTCCTTGTTCGGACTCAGGTGGCACCATGAAGCTCCAAGGCTCCCAAGCTTTCGGGCGCACACGGATGCGGGGTGACTGCGGCGCCGCAGAAACCAGGTAAGTCTCGGGCTCAGACCCTAGACCCTGGAGCCTGATATCGGGGCCTTAATAATTAGAATAGGGTTTGGGGTATATAAAACTCTAATTATGAAAAGGAGCCCCCAAAACCCTATTCTAATTATTAAGGCCCCCCTACCATACACCCTCATCCCCAGAACCCATAGGCCTGAAGACTCGGCTGAGTATCATCAAGACGGAAAAGAGCTTGGCAAGGGGAGCCTGGAAGCCGGAGTGCTTCGCCTTCCTACTGAGCAGCATTGACGGGCCCTTCCCAAGTTTTGGGTCCCTGCAGGCCTTTCGGGTCATCTGTGTCCAAAAAGCTGAAGGATAGATGGGATAAATAGAAAAATATAGTGATCTAAGTTCTTGCGGCTTATCCCGGGGCCTTAGTAGGGTTCAAGGATGGACTCTAACTTCGGGAAGTCCTTGACGAATTCCAGGTGTGCGCCTGATTTAGCGCCTCCCATAAGTCAAGCCTGCACAAGGGACAACGGCAGTTCAACATCAAGTTGAAGCAGCTGTATTGCACCAGCTCACGGTAGCAACTCCGGTGAAAGACATGCAAACACGGTAGTTGGACCCACTTTGGCGGTGCACATGGGCTATGCGTGCTCAAGCATATGGAGCACTCGAAACCCTCCTGCACGGTGGCAGGTTTTGCTAAGGCCATGAGCCTGGCAATGTCTTGCAAGGGTAGCCTCGCAGAGACCGTCGGCGCCGCCACCGGCTGCTCGATGTCGAAATTCTGCTGCATGTCTAATCTTGCGAAAATCATCGTAGCCAACGTGCGATAGTGCTGATTGAGCGCGAACAGGTCCTGCAGCCACGGGAATCTCGAACTCTCTGGGATCGGCGGAGGTACTGTCTCGCCCATGGCAAGCCGTGCATCCGCGAAAGACAGGCTGCCACCGCGATGCGTGGCAAATGCGCAAAGCTGCTGAGCTGAGGAAGGGGGGTGGCCATAGTCCCGGGAATATTGCTGCAACCATCCCCCCGCGTCCACGGCCGCAGGTGATGCAGGCGATGATGCGGATGCTGATGATCCTGACGACGATCCAGCCTTCAATTTCGCAGCAGCACAAGATCAGAAGGTTCGATAGGACATCAGCAGCAGCAACACATCATGTTCCCAAACCCTCAGCCCAAAACCCCAAACCCATTTTTTTCATCTTCGTGGGTTTCAGTTAATTGGAGTTCCGTACACAGTGCACTCCGTAACAAAAGGTGTGCCAGGAATAACATGGTTACCCACATGCATCTCATGCTTGTGGCTCGTGCTGATTCGTGTGAGAAGATGAACTCAAAATACAATCGTAAAGGTGTTCTACAATCATAAACCCTAAACGACTACATGCTGCAGCATGCCGAAGCAGCTATGTTAACCTGAGCTTTCATGCTCACGTGTGGCGCCGAGGTTTCTGGCTGGACGCACATCCAACATTTTCAATGAGTGATCGCCGAAGCCCACGGAAGGTCTAGGGGTTTAGGGCTTAGGGTTTAGGGCTTAGCAAGGAAGATGGTGCGAAGCGCATGAACGTGCTGGATCTTGAGAGGTATCTCACTATGGTATCTCATCTACAAATAACGCATCTGGACCCCAAAGGCCTGTTGGCTCGCGGAGGTACCGGTGGCTGCCAGCACCCGTCGCGCCAGGGCAAATGTGAGGTTCTGGCCACTATGTCTCGCGAACGCACATAGCTGATCCTTAGGAGGCACTGGTCGTAACGTCTCCTTGCTCTGGCAGGCAGATGCAAACACCGGCAGTATCAGTACGAGCACCACTACGAGGATTACCCAAATGCTTCAAGGACACCCATAAGTATGCTTCTCACTGCATCTCCTGCAATCTGGCTATGGCCGTTGCCCTAGCGAGCCTACCGTGCCTAGACACTAACCGCAGACTGAATTGCTCAGCCGATACCCCCCCGAACCCCCGCCCCTGGACGGAATGCCCGCCCTCGGATGAATTACGGCCAGATGATGACTAGCATGAAGAAGACCGGAGAACTACTGTGACCGCTACTCTGCTACCGCTCCTATTCGCTCAAACCCAATTTCTGTTTGGCGCTAAATGGATGCTAGTCTGCTTGGACCACAGATACTTGCGTGCGAGCGAATCCGAATCTAGTTGCACACGAATGCCCACAAACCCGGAGAGGCGGTGAGGCTTTTCCCTTTCCGGAAGGACCGGGCTAAACAAATGACATTGAGAATAGCAAATGGTTGCTAGCTTGGTTGGCTCATGTCAGGTCTCTGTCGAACTGGCTGAAGCCTTCTTATATAAGTGGTGCCAAGTCACTGGTGTGCGTGGCCTTGCACCGTACTTTGCCAGGTACTGTTGCAACACTTCCTTTCAGGCAGTCGTGTCTAGTCAGGAGCGGCTCAAGCTCGCTTTCGCCCGGGTCCTCGGCTGCATAGGAAGCCATGCCCTGGCATCGATACCCTAAACCGAAACCGACAGGGCCACTGCCAAGTTCGAGCCTGTTGGCCGGCGTGGTTGCAGCACAGAAACAAACTGATAAAGAATGTGGCACGGGGCACGGGTACCACGAGAATACGAGAGAACTGAAATGTCGATGGTTTGTCAACACATGCTGGTTGTTCCCGCTGCTGCTGCTGCTGCTGCTGCGGCTGCTGGCGCGGCTGCTGTTGCGACTGATTCTGCTGCTGTGGCTGCTGCTGCTGTTGGTGGTAGTTGTGGTGGCGACGGCAGTGGTGGCCGTTGCTGCTGCCGTTGTTGCTGTTGCTCCTGTTGCTGTTGTTGCTGTTGTTGTTGTTGTTGCTGCGGCTGGGCTTCGGCTGTTGTTGATGCTGTCGCTGTCGCTGGAGGTCGTTGTCGTCGTCGTTGTCGTCGTCGTCGTCGTCGTCGCTGTTGTATTGTGGTTGTTGTCGTTGTGCTGTGGCCGTGGATATCCCTGCATCCGTCCATCTGCCACCCGCCCGCCCAATGGCCACTCACCCGTCTGTTTGTCCCTCCCGAAGGTAACTCCCAGTAGCTAGCATTGAAGAAACTTGATCACTGCCATGATCTTGAATTTGGTGCTGGGCCTAGCGCGCGGCCAGTTCCATACTCTTATTTTCTTCTTCATCGTCATATTCATCATCATCCTCATCACCATCATCATGATTATCTTGCTCATCATGACCACCAGCACCATAATCGCCAGTCTCACCCATTGGAAAACTTGGAAGCGACACGGATATCACCGAAGAAGAAACCGCAAAGCTGACGGGAATCCGAAGACTCGTACAAGCCCCAACCCAAGGCGTCTTGCCAAATACTCGGGGGCCCTCAAAGACCAAGGCCATGGCTGTCGACGGCCTGGCGGGCTCACCTGCAGTCGCTTCAGGATTAGGCATCGGGTTGAGGGCTTGAAGTAGTACATACTTTTGCCTCCGAGTCTATGTCAGAAATGTGTGCTCTGCGAAGTGCCGGATGAGTTGTGTGTGTCCTTGCGTGTCCGCGGACCATCCTCACACACAAATGCAGGAAGCAGTTCCATCATCAAGCATGGTATCACCCGTTTGTTCTGATATTGACTGGTTTAGCCGCTACTTCCTGCATGCGCACCTTTCTGCTACAAGGAAGTGACAAGCTTCAGATGTGCGTGCAGCGTTCGTGCAAGTATGTGTAAGCGTGACCGTGCGCACGGGCATGAGCCCAAGCAGCACGACGTGTGTGCGCGTGCATCGCGTGCACGTGTCTTCGTCTCCAGGGGTGTCCTGCGATTGGGATGCAAAATCAACCCACAGCACCAAAACCGCTACAGTCTGTTATGCGCATATTATGATTATAATGCCTTCGGAAGTTAACACTTTAAACAGCCATGGCAGTCGTCAGTCGTCTGCTCGTAGCCTGCAAACCCACGACTGACATACTGACATACGAGATCCGAAACAAAGTGGTAGCGGTGATACCAAGCAAGCTGTGGGGCCCTGGCTGCTAGCACCTCCAGCGACAGGAACGCGGCTAAGTCCTGAGAGGACGAGTTTTGAATTCAGCGACGGTTTTGCCATCAGACCAGCTTCGGTAATGAGCTCGCAGACGATCAACGGCCGATAGCGATCCAACGATGTGGCACACATACCGAATCTCCGTTCTGACAAGTCTATAGGATTTAATATAGAAGTACTATCTTGGGTTCCTTGTTATAAGTATAGTATAAAGGGCCCCAAAACCTTATTCAACAAACTTCAGACTGAAATAATCAGCTCTGTGCCTTCGCCTAACCGTTGTTGGGTGCTGGGTCGCGACGGGCCGTTTAGAACCGCTTCGAGCGCCGACCCTGAGTTCCGTCGCGAAACTGAAGGATTTGGGCGGTTTGGGGGTTTCGATTTTTGGGGAATTTGGGGTTTTTTTTCCCTCCCACTTAGCAAGGACGAGCCCGCATTGCAGGGTGATCTGGAACTTAGGGTTTAGGCTTTAGGGTTTCGACTTTAGAGTTTAGGGCCTCTACTCTCGAGTTTAGATGCCGATGCACAGACTCTCTGCTTGTACACGACTCGCCCAGCTGCGTAGTACATGACTCTGCTTGCCGACCCTTAACCCTAAGCCCTAAGTCTGGATTTGGCTTTGGCCAAACAGCAAGCACGCTCGTATTATGCCCGATTCAGCACTCCTACACTGCAATAAGCGTGGCAAACTGCATGCCAACCCCCCCAAAAAAAAACATCAACCGAACAATTCTAGAAATTGTTCCCCATACTCGACTGCTTTCCATGCAGATAATGGCTCTGATTGCCTCTCCCTCTCCCAGACTTAGACGTCTGAAATACCAATGCTGCGGAAACAGTACTCTCCCACACTTGTGGATTCCACATACTTGGCAGAACAAAGATACCATCCAAAGCAGAGCATCCTCCCAAGAGGCATCATCTGACTCAACCGACATTCGAGGTACTGCCTGCCGGAGGAGCCGCTCATTCCAACAATCGAACTCAAAGTGCAGAGCTACTGCCCACTACACGCACCACAGGCAATGACCAGTTTCGGCTGCAGTCACGAACAAGGCAATTGCAAAAAAACACATGCCACCTAACGACCACTACGACTCCTACGACCACTTACGATCACTACAACAGTGACGAAGGTAGTTTGTACCTTCTTCCGCGGTTGCCTCTGCTACTGGCCAGATTGGCGCTTGCTAGCTACCTATGTTCATACAGTACAAGTGCCATCGTTACAGCTGACGTCATGACGAATGAAACTGACACGGCCCTCAGCAGTGCCACTGTTGCTATTTTCTTGTTCATCCTTGGCATCATGGTCGTCAACGTTACCACAAGCAACATACGTCGCCTTGGCGATACATGCTACCACCCTAAGTCTGCTCGCCGCTATTCGCAACATTTGCCATGCCGATGTTGCATCATAACTAGCTTTGTTGCTCTTGGCTTACAGGTTTCTTGCAGCTTAGGCGGCTTAGCCTCAATGTAAGACACTTGCCATGTACTTACGTTTTGTCCGCGTTTCTCTCCGGCTTTCCCCCGCCCCCACCGTTTTAACTGAATACTACCCCAATACAACCATTACTGTAGTGGCAGTGTACCACTACTGTAGTGGCAGTGTAGTATCCCAAAAACCCTATTCCAATTAGTAAGGCCCTAAACGCCTTTTTGCCACTGAACCCAAGTCTAGCCAGAACTTCCACCCGCAGTCCTGTAAAAGCCTAGGCCGAAACCCTGACCTGATCCAGGAGTTCTTCAAATTTTGGCCTCTTTTGGGGCCGGTGAAGAGCCCGCCGCAGGCTTCTCCTGCTCTTTGACAGGCCTTGGACAAAGCGGTTCTGGCGAGGTTTGGACTAGGGTTTAGGGCTGATTGGCAGAGTCTTGGTTCAAAAAAGGAAGACAAAATATCTCGGCTTAGGGTTTGGATTCTCGCAACTCGGACTCTGCGAGTCTGATTTCGACACTCACAGCTTGGGCAATCCGCGCGAGATGTCTGAGTACGATGTGCGCTTACAGCCACCTCATTGGGCAGCGGCTCAGAAGGGATAGCATTTGATAGGCTGCCTACTAAATTACGGAGCTGCCAAGAAGTCCATCAACTGCTGTCGTCGGCCACCGTTTAAGCTCTCACAGCTCGGACAAGCCAAGCGAGATTCCATACTCGCTGTGGTTAGCTTGCCCGTTGTTTTTCCCACCCGCCCAGCTGACTTGTTTAGGGTTTGGGGTAAAGGGGCTGACTGCGATAATCACGACAGATCACAGCAAGGAGACTCGCTCAACTTCGAACTTTGTCCTACCCGCTCCAAAAATCACGGTAGTCTCCACCCATCAGAAGCCCAAAGCTACCGGGCTAGCTCAGGATGTAGGATGTAACGCGACATCACCTAGGGTCTTAGAGTGGATCTGCAGCGCTGAGTGGATCTGCACGGAGCCACACCTGGGGTTCCGGGAGAGTGGGTTTTCGACTTCACCAATGAATTCGAGAAACCTCAAATCCCAAAAAGCTCTTCAAGGGCTCCCGGCGCGGACTGCAGGATGCGCGGCTGACCAGGAGGAGGCGAAGGGCGAGGGAACTTCGCAAATGTCCTGGGCTTCAGGCTCCCAGATCTGGCTGCATGATGGGGGGCTTGGGCTTCAGGGCTTAGGCTCCCCTGAAAAAGCCCTGACCCATAAACCCTCAAATCCCCCAAACCCGAAAATTTGGAGGCTTGAGGGTCAAGGCTTCACAGATTCTCACCTCCTACCTGGGCGTTTAAACGTTAGGGTTCCGGCTCGAACTCTGATGTAACTGCCGCACACTGACGTGGGCTTGCGCTGCTCCACGATGCTCCACTGCTTCTTTTTGTCTTCCACGGCAGCGGTAGCGGTAGCTGTGGAGACAGCCACTAAACATAAGTGTTGGCTTTTGCAGCTGTCCTGCAAGGGTGAATCGGAGAAGTGCCTTTCCCCAACCATCAAATTCGCCGTCTCTACCCCGCATCCGTGCTTCATCACATCCCATCAAGCCCGCACCTCTGATTTTTCCGCCGACACCCCCTGCTAGGACAGCTCTGGGACCCGCCGAGTAGGAGGAGCCCGCTCTCTTGGCTTCTAGAGCCATCCAAAGTCGTGGTTTCATGGCTTGGATTGGTTTTTGATTGTTCACTGCTATTGCTGATGATGCTGATGCTGTTGCTGGCGCTGTTGTTGTTGTTGTTGTTGTTGCTGGCGCTGTTGTTGTTGTTGTTGTTGGTGGTGGTGTTGGTGTTGGTGTTGGTGTTGTTGTTGTTGTTGCTGCTGCTGCTGCTGTTGTTGTTGTTGGTGGTGGTGGTGGTGGTGCTGGCGCTGATGCTTTGTTGTCGTTGCTGTTGGCGGTGGCGATGGCGGTGGTGGCGGTGGTGGTG